TCTATGTGAGTGTTGTTATTGAGATGCATCTCTACGACAAGTGCTGATGGGCCAGACCCTTTGATCCTGGGTTGCACGTACAAACCTTCACTGAAAAAATATAAAGTGGAATATTTGTAATTTTCGCAAAATTCGTGGAATTTGTTTCGTAAAAGCTAAAAATTCATTTAAAAAATTTTATAAAGTAAATAAATATTTGCCTACATATATCCGCTGCCGGCAGATTGCCGTTCCAGAATATGGTCACTGCTAATGAAAAGCATGAAATAGGACTGATAAAGAGGACGAGGAAATAGCGAAGGGGTGCGAGATTTTTGCAGACTACAAGGTTCTGATCAACCGAAGACGAAACGATGGCGACTGCCACAACGTCGTCGGAAATCCGGTGCGCAACGAAAGATAGAGATGGTGTGGTAGATGAAATTTAGAGCACACATTACACTTATCATATTAAATTTAACAGTAGTGATAATATCACTAATTATAACGGCAGTGTTAATGATAGTAGCGATGATGGTTGTGATGATCAGCGATTATGATTTATCATCAGATTAACGGCCTTATTATTAAAACGAGCCGTAAAGCAGGTCTCTTACTCCCACGCAAACCATGCATTTATTATAAACCTCTCCATTCCTTCTGCCGTGGTCCCCCTAGCAGGGTTTTAATTCCAACATAAACGTACCCAGCTATTTCTAGTGCTGGAGAGATTAAACCCTAGCTACAGCAAATCACGTGCGGCAAATCTTCTCTTGGACGCAGTACATAGCTGCTTGTGCCAAATAAAGCAGCGATTTCCCCGAAAAAAAAAACCAATTTTCTGGATCTTTTTTATCCAAAGTGCATCAGTACTTAGACGAGCAAAAATAGAACTCTCGTCTTCTTCCCACAAAGATTTAATTAAATTTTCGGACTTCTGACTGTTAGTAATGCTTTAGCTCTTTATTTTCATATCCTACCATTAAAAGAATAAAAATGATCCAGAAAGGTTGCTTTTGGAACACCTCCTCGCCACCATATAAATAATCGGAATCTCCGTCAGATGAGCAGTATGCAGGATAACACTGTGACTGAGGAAGAAAGTAAAATCCGTTGGGCAGAGCTCGTTGCTTACAACCATATTTGAGTGACACCCACAGGGAAGTAAACACCCGCTGCATAGACTCTGAAGAGGTGACGCACATATTTCGAATAAGCGGTGGATATTAACTGGCGATATGCAGCTCCGGCACTGAGGAATTCGACATTGTACGTGTACCTACATGTGACATGCGTACATTTGCATGTCTGTCCTCATAGGTGTCTGTGCATGCAAACCTGCACACGCGTGCATGTGCGTATCTGCACCAAAGCCGCACAGACAAATTCCCCGTGGGCGGTCCATGTTAGTGTTGTTTTTGTAAAAGGAGGATGTTACCAGCAAGGAAACGAAGCTGCCGGCTAAATTCCTTTCGCCTTGCCCAGTTGCATTTCGATTCGAATGTAATATGCAAATGTCCCGTCCCCCACTCGAGATCCCCCTCCGTGATATGTGATGGTGTGATTAGAAATGAAATGTAGATTTTATTTACTGACCTGAGTGAGTGTCCCTTACGGCTGCACCCCGCGCAGGCCTTCCTCCGCGTTACAATGTTACTGAATTGTTCTCAGACATCATACCAAACAAATATCCATGTAGGAAGCCAAAACACCCTTCGTGTTCGTTCTCTATGAAAGTCAGGGGCATTCCGGAAAGTTGTACGAGTAGCAACAAATGCCAACACGGAACACTCGCAAGCACGGCTACCGGTGGACAAGCAAACATTAAAATTCAAAAACAGTGCTGATTAAATGAGCATATGAATTTATGTATGTCTGAGCTGTTATGTGGGTTTTAAATGTTACATCTCTACATGAAAAAAATCGCTTTTTTTCCCCCAGTACAAATGATAACACTGAAAAGACAATAACAACGTCGGCAATGAATTTTATAACAGGCCAATAAGTCAAAAATGCGCGAAATACAAGTGCGGAGACAAAAAAAAATTGCACAACACAACGTACAGTACATCACGGAAAGCATTTTTTTGCAAAATTGATATTCAAATTATTAAGCATTTGCTGGACATCTTGCGCTGCTAGGAATATGTCCCACAGAAACTCAAGTTTGTTGGTCCAGACAAAATTTGGCTTTGCAATAGTGAAATTTGCGACGTTGAGGAATTTGATCTTCCAGATGCTGGGGTTTGTTAATCCACTTAAAATTTCTGCTTCCACAAGGAATTTCCTGGATCAGGCGCTACCGTTCTTATTTGTGGAACACACGCAATTGTTCGTCACGCCGGCACTAAGCACAAAAATAAGTAAACAGAACAAAAGGTGAGTTGTCGGTCTGTGTGGCATTCATTGCAATATAGCAGCGTTCGAGCAATAATATAACATTTTCGCAAAAGATATAAAACAAATCAAAGTAAAAAAAAAATAAATGAATTGAGAGAAAGCACCATTTACTACAAAAAAAAAAAAAACGAAAAATTGCGGGAAAATGCACAACACATTTAATGCAAAACAATCTCATTTCCCTTTTAGGCATGTAAAAACAGGTCAGGCATGTTACGTCCTATTTGATGAATAAATGCATCATATCGTAGGCCCGAGGTAAATGTGAAATTCGACTTTGCCAAAGCCAAAATATGGTTGGATTAAGGGACGGGGAAGGGGGGATCGATATGTTTTTGAAAAAGGCTTAGAAGGACGCTCGTGGATTCAGCCAAGGTCAGGCTAGGATCAAAAGTTAGCCGCTTACTGTCATACCCCCCAAAAATCATACGG